ATGGGGCTCCTCCACTGGGAATCTCTGTGAGCAACAAAAATTTGTCTGAAAGTGTGGCGTCCTCTCGTTCTCTGTGCTTCCACTGGGAGCTACAATCCTGAGCTGCTAGTAATCAGTCATCTTGGATCCTAATTCCGAAAATGCAGTCTTTAGAGATATTTCTGTATCCCACATAGCACCATGACTAGATACAGAAACTGTTGACTGGGTGTGGTGGCTCACACTTGTAATCCCAGCACTTTGGGAGCACAAGGTGGGTGGATCACAAGGTCAGGAGTTCAAGACCAGCCTGGCCAACATGGTAAAACCCCATCTCTACTAAAAATACACAAAAAAATTACCTGGGTGTGGTGGCAGGCACCTGTAATCCCAGCTACTAGGGAGGCTGAGGCAGGAGAATTGCTTGAACTCAGGAGACGGAGGTTGCAGTGAGCCAAGATTGTGCTACTGCACTCCAGCCTGGGTGACAGAGCTAGACTCTGTCTCAAAAAAAAAAAGAAACTGTTGAGATAACTTAAATGTGCATGGCAACCTGGACCAAAAAGTTGAAGAGTTATGCTTCAGTGGCCAGTCTTCCTGGGGTGGACAAACCATTGAAATGGGTCTTTGAGATCCCATTTGATTAAAGTAGCTTATGCTGAAAGAGTTTGAATCAACAAGGTGGAATGGCCCCCTTAATAATCTTAATTGGAATATCGTTTCAATTTCATCTGAAATGTTAGGCTTAGCTGTTTGTTTTTATCAACAGTCCATCTAGACCAGGAGGCAACAAGATGCCAGTAATGGGTAGCTGTAATCCAGAAAAGCTACTACATTATTCATACCAGTTTGATTAATAGTCTGCTTTGAAATCTTATCTCCATCACAGATTATCTATTGATAACCTCTGTGCTTTCAGCAATATGCTCAATTGTGTAAGACTAGATCAGAGTCACAAAGAAATGTTGAGAATTTACAAACCACCCAGTAAGTTTGAGGAATTTTACTTTCCACTGAGCCCAAAAATACTGTGTCTTGTTTTAAAACTACAGAATGGCTGAGTTTTGTGGAAGTTCAATGACTTGCTCAAGGCAACCTCACTCATTAAAGACAGAGCCAAATTGGTTTTTCATTTGGATCATCCTGCCTTAGACTCTCAAGCTTATTCATTCAATTTCATTGAGCACCTACTGTGCACAGCATTACAGGTCTAGATACTGCTTTCATTGCACAATTCATTATTCAGCTACTATTGCCTTACAGTAATCTTCTTTATAAGAAAACAAGGTAAACCATAAATCCATACAGATCCAGAGACAATATCAGCTCTTACACTGTTGTTTTTCAAGAGCTTCCGAAAACCCATTATGGATCACTCTGTGCTTAACTGTCAGCGGCCAGATTATTCTCTGTGATGTTGAACCATCCCTTAGAAATTAAATGACCGAGGCTAAGTCGTATCCTGTGCCTTCTAAATGAAGCTTTTCTGGCTTTTGTTTAGAGTTCTTAAGAAGGGCCAGATAAGGCAAGGAAATATTATAGCCCACACCATCCTATCTCACATCAATGTCAAGTAAATACCTAGAATAAGCTCCAGAATACCCTTTGCTTTGTTATTATTGGAAATGTGCTTCACCAGCATTTGTTCTTCCAATATCACTCATCCTTTGATAACATAGACCACGTCTCAGATAGAAAACTGCTCCCAGAGTGCTGCCCTTGAAATAGAACACTGCCATTCTTTTATCTGTTTTAAAGATGAAACTGAGAACATGGCTGTCCCCATGATGCTTTGTCCTGAGAGGATTTGTGATGGGAGTCAAAGGCTAAATGCAGTGTTGGGCTTTACACCATTCTGCTATTTTGAGGGAGTATGTGTTCTAAAAGGAACACTAACTGGAACAGAACTACTTTTGGGACCCTCTTCTCTCCCATGCAAAAATGTCAACAATCTATTCTCCATGAATTCTGTTTAATTTACTAAACATACATGAAGTTAGCGGCAGCATATAAAAAAGCGTATACAGAAGGAAGCGTAAGTGGTTCTTGATTCAGATGAAAATATCTTAAAGCAATAAGTGTTTTTAATACCTTCTGTTCTAGCCTGAAATGTTGTTCTAAGAAAGTTTTCTCTCTGACTAAAAAAAGTCATAGATTCGTTAGAGGAATTGACAGATTCAGAAAGAAAACAGAAAAAGTAATCATGATTAGCCATATGAGCTAATGTCAACAACTCTGTAGTATAATAGTCCTCCAAATCTCCGTCAATCAAAATACTAACAAAAGGTAGAACAGAAATGCATTTCAGGTTAGGTTTGATCAAAATCATATTCTAAAGCCTCGTGGTATCAGACCACCTACATGTTTGGTAGGAAACCAAATAAATCTAGTCGTTTACAGAACAGAGCATCACTATCACATTCTTTAGGGGCCTTTTTCCTACTTGAATTCTCCTCATACCTTATGCCTCTGAAATGGAACACTCAGATCTAGAAATGTATTACAGAGTTGTGATTGTCAGATTGTGCTGAAAAGCCGCAAGGACCAGGTTGGCTGGTTTATTTACTTTTCTGTCTGTCTCTGACCAATAAGTATTCCTACTATGTGTGACTGTTGTAACTCGCCCCATCTGCAGGGCACGTTCACCAACACCTGAACTGGTCTATACCTTGTACAGTAAGACAAGTCTATTAATAATGCTCTTGGTTATGGTGACAGTGTTCAGCTACTATAGAGGTTTCTGAACACTTCCCTTAACTTCTGTGTTCACCTCATCATGACCAGGAAGCATGTTTTGAGTAGCAGCAGTAGAATAAAGTCCAGTCGAACTATAGTATCTTTGGTACTTCCTTGAGAGATAATCACCTTGGCGGCCAGCCATTCAGAAAAAGCTGCAACTTGAATTATCAACATTTCTCATCTGTCTCATTTTTCTTCCTACAATCTTCCCACTGCTCTCTCTGCTTGGGTTGCACGTGGACCTGTTCCAGCAAGATGTGGCTCCTGCAGGGATCGCACTGGGCTAAGTGGCAGCATATGAACTGCATCTGTGCAGTTAGACCTAGACAGTCATGATATTTGGTTGATTCACACTAACCTTGAGGAAACGTCAAAACTGAAAAAGTGGTCCCTCTTCTGCATTCTCAAATGAAGCACTAAGAGAGACAGGGGGATGTGTATGAAACATAAGAGGATGATGTATGACTAGTGTATTTGTGGTATGCAGATTGGTTATTCATAAGTATTTAGGCTTGTTCTCATGGTTAAATATGACCCTTAAACCCATGCTTAGTTGGAAATTTCTTCATTCTTGAGATATACACTAACTCCATTATCAGAAATTAATGGGGTTTCATTTAATGAGAATTTACCATATTGCTAGAGCTATAATTAGGAAGCTATTGAATTAATTCACATATCAGTGTTCAAAAAATAATCTTTTTAAGAGGGTCACTGAAATATACCCACTCTGCCACAAACAACTTCTTGTGACTTCAGGCAAGTAACCATACCTGCGTGTAACGATTATACCACCAGTGTCTGTGGACTTTCTGCAGGCCAGTCAATGTGCTAAGAGCTCTGTGTGCCTCATATAGGTGACTCTGGGAGGCAAGGTGACAGATACTAGTGAGGATACAGAGCCTTAGATATAAGAAGCAGCTCATGATCAAGCTGCTAGAAAGAGGGAGAGTTGGGATCTGAACATCTGTGTTCATAGTTCCAACTCTTCCCCACCACATTATAATACCCCATATATCACCAAGAGAGACTACTGAAAGTCATTAAGGTCATGGCAGTCGTCACTTAAAACCTTTTCATGGGTTCCCATGATGCTGAAATAAAATCTTAGTTGCTCATGCTGGCCTACATGCCCTGCCTGGTCTAGCTGTGCCACCTGGCCACCCTCAGCCCACTTCTCTCTTCTTGTACACAGGGCTCTGGCCATGCTGGCCCACGGCCTTTGCACCTGCAGTTCCTCCACGTGGGAAGTGTTAATGGTGCCAGGCACCCTGCCTTTCATATCGGGGAGAGTTCAAGAAGTATCTGCCATTTAACTGCTTTGAGCTTCTCCACATAGATATTTGCATCCTCCCTCCCCTCCAAGAAGACCCTCAAGAGAGGCCACTTGGAAATAGTCCCCAGATAAAAGTGGCATGAAGACCCCGTATCAGAGCCCCTCCATTCTCCTGCTTGATAGCAGATAACACTAAAAATTAGACCAAAGGACCTGCCAGAGAACTTACCACATGGCCCTTCAACTAGGCCTACAGCTTAGTCCTACAAAAAGTTGCACAAGTCATTGGCAAAGTGGGTGAGAAGTGACTTAGCCTGGTTACACTGAGAGACCCAGGATGTCCAACAATTTCCAAAGTTCTGAATTCATTCTGAAGCACACACCAATTGGCAGATACAATAGCATGTGTCCCGCATTTGGGCTCACTTTGCTTTTATCTTACCTAATTTGCAGTAATAGTGGCTGAAACTAATTTCTTGACAGTAAATATCACAGCTGTTGTGGAGAACATTAATTGCACACTATCACGTTACCCTCCTTTCTTGGATCTGTTTATGTGTAATCTGTTTGCAAGTTCTATGACTGAATATTAAGGGAATGCAATGTGAAATCATCTAACCAAACACATTGGAAACATTTGTACTGAAATGGCTGGGTGGTTTGGGGTATGGAAATATTCTTGTCTGTGGCAGACATTGAAAAAGTGCTTTTGAAAAGCGCTGCCCCAGAAGTCTTGATGCTGAGTGAAATATGGGTAATTTTTCTTTGGGGGATCAATGAAATAACTATTTTCAAAATGACTTTATATTGACTGAAAGGTCAGAAATGCCCTAGGCATTGATCCTGTGTCCATAATCACTTTTTGTTTAGTAAGTTAAGCGGCCCTACACAGCTGAATGCAAAGAAATCCAGTTCATCATTTAAAGAAAATATTTTCAAAGCATTTGACATCCCCTCACTCGCATTGCCTGCTGGAGTCTCACTGGGAATGCCTTTCTTTGCCTAGGAAGTGGACCTCTACAGAATGAACAGCCAGGACAAGCTGGGCCTCACTGTGTGCTACCGGACGGATGACGAAGATGACATTGGGATTTATATCAGTGAGGTACAAAGGCTGATTTTGTTCTTGTAACTATCATATCAACACCAAAAGGGTTTTTTTCCCTATGTTCACCAACCCTAACCTACCTCATCAAGAACTCTTGGGAAAGACACAGACAAATTATTCTGTCCCCCTCATCACACTCCATGGCGTTGCATCTTTCCACGGAGGTTAAGTCCTAATGTCAGTACTTAGAGCAAAATTACCCTTGAGAAGCCTGCAAATCAGCCATAAAATGGAGCCATTTACATGATTTTGTGTGTTTAGCCCTGAGGGAATGGCAGATTCACATTTCCCAACTCATGTTCATGGAGTGGAATGGTGGATAGAATCACTTACACTTTTTCAAGTCTCTCTCTCTCACTTTTTTTTTTCTCCTGGTGAAGTATATATAGTTGAGTTCATTTAAGTTAAATGTGATTTTTATGTACTTATCAAACTACATAGATGCACACTGTGTTGATTTTCCTTAAGAAGATAATACAAAGCAACTGATTTTAGTATGGAAACTTTACTGTACACACCCATCCTTGCAAGCACAGAAACCCAATTTTGTCAGGAAATAAAATGTCGCTACAGGATGAACTACTAGACTTAATAATTATCTTTTTGGTTGGCTGTATGTTATCCATCAAGCTTAAGCTGTTAGCCCAGCCTTTCTGCATCTGGGGGCATCCTTCCCCTTACCAGTCCCCCTTGTCTCAATTATATTTTTAAAGTTATTTTCCAAATTTTAATACAAGTATTTTGTATAAAATAAGGTATGGTTGCTAGTTAACATAATGAAGGGTTATGATTGATTTGATTTTAATAATCATGCATATAAAAAAGGTCAGCTGTGTCCCCTCAGCCCCCTCAGATTGGCAGAGCCTGCACCCTCTGCTGTGTAACAGGGTTGCTATGCAGGGATGCAAGAACTGGCCCTACAAAGGGCTTAGAAGCAGATCAGCTCATATTTGCCTCTCCTTACAAGACACTAAGTCTTGTTTATTTCTGTGTAAAACACACACAGGGATGAGCATGACTGTGTGTTAGAGATGGCTTTGGAAATTGCTCTTGCTTATTTTCATGCATGTCTGGGTTTGTGCTGAGATGGTCCATGTGTGTTTCAGATTGACCCTAACAGCATTGCAGCCAAGGATGGGCGCATCCGAGAAGGAGACCGCATTATCCAGGTAAGTCCACCTCCAAACGGTGACCTCATAATGTGCCTGAAGAACAAACCGGTTCTAATGATAGGTCTAAGGTTGAAAATGCAGGAGAGGTTAAAGAACAGGGATCACAAACGCAGATGTGTAGTGAGGCCAGACAAGTTAAGCTAATTGTGAGGCTAACTCTGAGTCCTAAGACGCAATAGGGAGTGGTAAGGACTGAGACAAACTAGATGGGGCACGTTCTCTCAAAAGACAGCCTTGCAGAATTTAAGCCAGTTCACCTCATTTTCTTTCCTTCTGTTTGGATCAAAACAAATCAGACCAACAGTTTACAACTTGTGAACTAAAATAATTCTCATTTTAGATTTCTCTGAAAGATTAACTTTGGACCAAGTGTTTCAGGGTCTCGTCCATAAAATGGGAACATTTTTGGCAAATTTAGCAGAATCGATTGAAAAGTCTTATATTTTCTGATTCAACATCTAATACTGGAAATGCTTCTAAGGGTAATTACTTGACCTCAAGCCCTGTTGTTCCATCTAGTCCAAATGAGACCATTCATATCTCTTTTTGGCTACAATCTTCTTTAATCTCTCCGAATTGAGATTCTTGGCTTCACTGTCTCCGCAAGGCTTAGCTTTCTATGTTTTCTGATCTGTATCCTCTCATTCCTAAGTCACTGTTTTTCTCATTTCATATCTCACTATGAGTCATTTTTATTTCCTTCTCCCATTGCCCGCTCTGGGTTTCTCTCGTCTTCTGCCAGAACCTGTGCTGCTCAGGATCACTTACCCTAGGAAAGTGACCCAAACCTTCACACCTGAAGGATCAAGGTCTTCAGGGTCCTCAGCATTGCTGCCTTCTTGTTGTTGCTGGAGTTTTCTATTAACCTTTGCTATTGAGAATGGAAGTTCTCAGAGATACTCCAAGGAATACCCTGGGTTCCAGACACAATCCTCCCTGCCTCCACTGTGTCACAGCAGGTCCATTTCCCCTTGGTAATTGAGGGCAATCACTTCAACCAACAGAGTCATCCCTTTTACTGCTTGTTGGCTCACTGGTGTAAGGAGGCATGAGGAAGGCTCCACTTCCAATTCAGTGAAACCATTGCTGTGTTCCCTGGAGGCAGCGTCCCACCAGGACTAAGACCGCCAAACCAGCAAAGCTCAAAGTGACCAGGACATGCAAGTGGGTTATCAAGTGTGATAGTGAGAGTGTCACCCCCACTTGACCCTCTGCCTGGCCTAAAGAAGTTAAAGTGTCAAACTGGGGGCACAAAACACTATGTATAATTCCCTTCCCTTTTCTTAACCTCAGTTTCCATAATGTTCACATCATACCCATTGGTGCTTTTTCTTCTATATTATCCAAAAAAGTCGACATACACTCCTGCCTGAATATGATGTCTAATTGCTTCCATGTTCCCTCTGTACAACATTATGATTTTTTCTCAGTGCTGTCTTGTGGAGGTCCAGCCCCTTCTGTTCACACTCCCCCATCACAGTCACCTCATGAACTACGTTCATGGAGCCTCCCTCATAGACCATTGGTCTGAGCAAGACCTTTCCTTCCCAAAATCAGTATTCTTTCCCAGCTACAGGGAAGGTTTATGTTCCAGCTGTGAGTGGGTGACAAATGCAGGTCTGAAATAAAGTAGAATGATTTTTACACCATCTAATCATGCTATTTATCTCCCCATTCCCTTTATTTATTTATTTTTTAAGATTAATGGAATAGAGGTGCAGAATCGTGAAGAGGCTGTGGCTCTTCTAACCAGTGAAGAAAATAAAAACTTTTCATTGCTGATTGCAAGACCTGAACTCCAGGTAAATTGGCTTCCTAAAAGATAAAACTGGGTCTGTATTTCTAAAATCAAAAGCTCAGGTTCCCAGGCCTGCCAAAGAGCACCTGAGTATTGGCTATGAACTTGAAGGTGCTTTGTACCCTGAAAGGGTAATCACACTTGCTGTGACTTAGAATCGACTTTATGATCTAGCTATTTAAGGTTGGTTAGATACCCACCCTGGCATCTATACTGCAGGCCCACCAATTTCGTTAATGCAGGGACCATAGGGAGGGGAAAAGAAACAGAATGAAATAGAAAACACAGCGGGAATCATGACCGTCAAGACGTTTGACTTCCCAAGGGCTGACAAATGTACCAGCCTTGATCTGTGGGGGTTCCATTTACAATAGCAGAGTATGGGGAATTAAAAATTTCTCTTTCAAAAACAAAATATTAAGTGATAAATAATAAACCTGATATGACCACCGAGTAAGTGCTAGGCCTTCCATGGAGCGCTTTACACACAGGAGAGCCTTCCCAGGATATGAAGTTTCTAGAGGTTCAAAAGTTACCCAGAAAGGCCCAGAGGAGGGTGATGGAGCAGGGAGGGGTTCAGACCCAAGTAATCTGATTCAGAAACCACTGTTGTAATAACTCCTTCCACAGAAGGAATCATGAACTCCCCCAGGTAGCACTGTTTATCCACTTAGAATGGCTCCATCAACACATCTAGGCAGTCCTAGTAGATCTCTGTAGGTACATGTATAAGTGGGTTTTCATGCTGCTGATAAAGACATACTCAAGACTGGGTAATTTATATAGAAAAAGAGGTTTAATGGACTCACAGTTCCACATGGCTGGGGAGGCCTCAAAATCATGGTGGAAGGCAGAAGGCCTGTCTTATATGGTAGCAGGGAAGAGATTGAGAGCCAAGCGAAAGGGGTTGCCCTTTATAAAACTATCAGATCTCATGAGACTTAATCACAACCATGAGAACAGTATGGGGGAAACTGCCCCCATTTTTCAGTTATCTCCCATGAGGTCCCTCACATAACACATGGGAATTATGGGAGCTACAATTCAAGGTGAGATTTGGGTGGGAACACAGCCAAACCATATGAGTATGGAACCCAATTGAAAAAGTCACCTAGGGACAGTAGCATACGAGGCATCTGATTCTCCACAGATGGGAGCCTCATGAGCTCAAAGGGAACTTCAGCAACGATCTCACACATAGTCACTGACTTTTAAAGGGCCAGATAGTAAATGTTTGACTTGGGGGACCATACCATCTCTGTCATGACTGCCAGACTCTGCCACTCTAGTGCAAAAGCAGCCATAGACAGTATGTCAACGAATGGGCATGGCTGTGTTTTGATTAAACTTTCTTTTTTTTTTTTTTTAACAAAAATAGGCTAGATTCAGCCCATGAGCTATAGTGCCAACTTCTTAATGATTCACTCTTTTTTGGGCAAGGCAGATAAAGGCCTTTTAAAAGTGATGTCCAGCCAGCCTCTGTGGCTCACGCCTGTAATCCCAGCACTTTGGGAGGCCCAAGACAGCAGATCACTTGAGGTCAGCCTGGCCAACATGGTAAAACCCCATCTCTATACTAAAAATGCAAAAATTAGCTGGGCATGATGGTGCATGCCTGTAATCCCAGCTACTCAGGAGGCTGAGGCAGGAGAATCGCTTGAACCCAGGAGGCAGAGGTTGCAGTGAGCCGAGGTCAGGCCACTGTACTCCAGCCTGGGAGAAAAAGCGAGACTCTGTCTCAAAAAAAAAAAGTGGGGGGGTGGGGGCTATCCTTGCCCAAGCCAAAGAGCTAGTTGCTGTATCAGAACTCTTTCCACACTAAAAATGGTTTCTCTATGGGACCTGTTAAACTCCTATCTGGTCCAGCAAGCAGGGCGAACAGCTAGATCTACCTGAGCCTTCTACATAGTTGTATTACTGCACTGAAAGTAGCTGAGATGGATGAAAGAGTTTCACCCTGAAAAATAAAATCATGGATATTAAAGACTTCCTCAGATGTAGTGTAGGGTTGGAGGTCTCTTTAATGTGAGGGTGGGGTAGTTTCCTCACTAACGGCAAATCACTGGGCAGATTGCATTTTGATGACTCTTGGAGGAAGCTCTAGAAATATTTTTCCCCAAGGTAATGTCATTTTTTAAAAAACCATAAATGAACATGAATATGAAGGAAACTTCTAAGGCATGTGTTGGCTGCTCTTGCCTGCAGCTGGATGAGGGCTGGATGGACGATGACAGAAATGACTTTCTGGATGACCTGCACATGGACATGCTGGAGGAGCAGCACCACCAAGCCATGCAGTTCACAGCTAGTGTGCTTCAGCAGGTAACACCCACACACCAATCCCTGACACTCCGCCCTGCTGAGCAGGAGGAAAATATGCTTCCTCCATCCCTCTTTATGGTGCTAAAGACCATCAGAAGCCCATCCACCTGGAAGACAGCAAGAAAACAGCCTTAAATACTTTTCTCTCTGAGCACCAGACCAGTGAAATGCAAGCTGGTACTGTCCCTAGCCAAGCTTTTAAATGTAAGCAACATTGCTGAAGCAAAGCTGACCTTCTGATAATTTGTTTGGAAAACATATGCATCGGCATTACCATAGATTGGAAAAAGGCATGTTTTCCACAGTAAAGCAATCCCTTCTGTTTAACCTGAGCTGCTTGTAGTTCTATAGCTCCCTACTATGCTACTACATTTTGAGAGTTTTAATGAGCCCTTTATTGAGTTCTGTACAAGCTAAACCGGGCTCTTTATACATCCTTCTTCCTTTGTACTGATTCATTTATCAGAATCATCCATTGAGATAAAGTGTCTATTATCATTCTCATTTTACAGATGAGAAAACTGAGGACAAGAACAAGAGTAAGTGACTTTCCCAGGTAGATATGGGTAGGTGTGGCTAAGGCCCACACCTTTTACTTGGTCCTACTATCAGATGCTGCTCCTAGGCCTTAGAAATGTACAACTCGCCCTGTCCCGAAACACTGCAGGGGAAGATCAAACACAGGTACCTGCTGCGCTGGCCTCCCTCACTGTGACCCTTTGTTCTTGTTTTATGCAGAAGAAGCACGAGGAAGATGGCGGAACCACAGATACAGCCACCATCTTGTCCAACCAGCACGAGAAGGACAGTGGTGTGGGGCGGACCGACGAGAGCACCCGCAATGACGAGAGTTCGGAGCAGGAGAACAATGGCGACGACGCCACCGCATCCTCCAACCCGCTGGCGGGGCAGAGGAAGCTCACCTGTAGCCAGGACACCTTGGGCAGCGGCGACCTGCCCTTCAGCAACGAGTCCTTCATCTCGGCTGACTGCACGGACGCTGACTACCTGGGGATCCCGGTAGACGAGTGCGAGCGCTTCCGCGAGCTCCTGGAGCTCAAGTGCCAGGTGAAGAGTGCCACCCCCTATGGCCTGTACTACCCTAGCGGCCCCCTGGACGCCGGCAAGAGCGACCCCGAGAATGTGGACAAGGAGCTGGAGCTGCTGAATGAGGAGCTGCGCAGCATCGAGCTGGAGTGCCTGAGCATCGTGCGAGCCCACAAGATGCAGCAGCTCAAGGAGCAGTACCGCGAGTCCTGGATGCTGCACAACAGCGGCTTCCGCAACTACAACACCAGCATCGACGTGCGCAGGCACGAGCTCTCGGACATCACCGAGCTCCCAGAGAAATCCGACAAGGACAGTTCGAGCGCCTACAACACGGGCGAGAGCTGCCGCAGCACCCCACTCACCCTGGAGATCTCCCCCGACAACTCCTTGAGGAGAGCAGCAGAGGGCATCAGCTGCCCGGGCAGCGAAGGGGCCGTGGGGACCACGGAAGCCTATGGGCCAGCCCCAAAGAATCTGCTTTCCATCACGGAAGATCCCGAAGTGGGCACCCTTAGCTACAGCCCATCCCTGAAGGAGTTAGACCCCAGCCAGCCCCTGGAGAGCAAAGAGCGGAGAGCCAGCGACCGGAGCCCGAGCCCCACGCCCAGCCAGAAGCTGGGCAGCGCCTACCTGCGCTCCTACCACCACTCCCCGTACAAGCACGCGCACATCCCGGCGCACGCCCAGCACTACCAGAGCTACATGCAGCTGATCCAGCAGAAGTCGGCCGTGGAGTACGCGCAGAGCCAGATGAGCCTGGTGAGCATGTGCAAGGACCTGACCTCCCCCACCCCATCGGAGCCACGCATGGAGTGGAAGGTGAAGATCCGCAGCGACGGGACACGCTACATAACCAAGCGGCCAGTGCGGGATCGCCTGCTGCGGGAGCGAGCGCTGAAGATCCGCGAGGAGCGCAGCGGCATGACCACTGACGATGACGCGGTGAGCGAGATGAAGATGGGGCGCTACTGGAGCAAGGAGGAGAGGAAGCAGCACCTGGTGAAGGCCAAGGAGCAGCGGCGGCGGCGCGAATTCATGATGCAGAGCAGGTTGGATTGTCTCAAGGAGCAGCAAGCAGCCGACGACAGGAAGGAGATGAACATCCTGGAACTGAGCCACAAAAAGATGATGAAGAAGAGAAATAAAAAGATCTTCGATAACTGGATGACTATTCAAGAACTCTTAACCCATGGCACAAAATCCCCAGACGGCACTAGAGTATACAATTCCTTCCTGTCAGTGACTACTGTATAATTTTCATTTCTGCATTATGTACATAAAAGAGACCACTACCACTGGGGTAGAAATTCCTGCCTCGTTCAATGCGGCAAGTTTTTGTATATAAGATAAATATGGTCTTCATGTTTATAGTCCAAATTTGCAAACCCTACAACTCTGGGTGTCATAGGTCTATTTTAAGGGGAGAGAGAGAGAAAAAAACACCCTTACTATCTTGGAGGGCAATATTAACAAACAGAGCTTTTTTCAAATAGCAATTGTACTTTTCTACCTGTACCCTTTTACATAAAGTGTTTAAATTTCAGAAATATCTTTTATTAAGCATACTTTCACAGAATTTGTTTAAACTATATTCATATTAAAAAAGTTAAACACGCTTTTTTTCCTGCCTAAAACAAGTACAACTGCCAGTATGTATTTTTAATGGAACCCTATTTTATAATGTTACGTTACTGAATGTGTTTCATATGCGTGACCGTTAAGGTATTATTTAGGTGAAGGTTTCAACTCAAAACTACCCAACCTGGTGGTTAACGATTTAGTACACATAACCAAACCCGCAGTGTTTTAGAGTTGAGATATATATTTAAACATTTTCCTGGTTAAGGTTCCCAAGAGTGTAAAGGTTTTAACAGAAAGCAAAATATCATGCAGCTTTATGGAAGTTTAAAGCATGTTTGCAAATATTGCAGCCCATCGAAAGAATTTGCATGTACAGGAAAGTTGTGGATGGAGATGGTTTGTGGAATTCTAAGTGCTCATTGTAGTAAACTTTTGCTTTGTAGATTTGAAGGTACAGACTTATACAAGCAAGTTCACAAAATCATGATTAGTTACAAACATTAAGTAAAATGAAGTTAAAATAAATTATTATTTTCTATTTGATACGTTTTTATGTGATTCCTCATTTTGCAGTGGTGCCTAAAAAATAAAAGCCTTTGGCAGTGTTTGCTTCTTTTTCCTTGGTTACATTACATGCCACCTTGAAAGGATTTAAGTATTTTAGACCATCTGCTGCCTTCACATTCAGCATCAGACCTAATGATGAATGTAAAGCCAAGGTCTAGGAGTGAAGAATATGGGGTCAAATTGACCACACAACCCTGCATTCTGACTGCCTGCCTTACAGAACGTTTCAACCTGGCCCTATATCCTATGAACAAGAATAGCTATGAGCAAGTTTATCAATCAGGGTCATGTTTGCAATGAAATCTCTTTTGTTTATTGCAACCATTACTGCCTGCCTGTCAGTAATAACAACTCCGGGTGGCTAGGTCCAGCTCTCCATTTCTAGGATGCATCTGCAAATCAGGCAATATTTTCATAGAATAACAGGGGTCACCAACGTGGGTGGGCTTCAAATCTGGTAGCTGACTACTACAACCACCAGGATCCTAAATAATGAATTTGTTACAAATCATTTCCTGATTGTAATGTTGACACCGATTTCAGCTGTAATATTGAAAAAAAGTAAGATAAAGATAGGATTAGGAAGGGTGTCATTTTTATTTCCCATGATGCCATACATCTGGTTTACTCACTGATCCAAATGGAATTTTGATTGAAATGACCAGGTGTTTTAGGCATTTCAGACATCTATTCCTCCCACAGACCCTGCTGGAACCACAATCCCTCCTTTGGGACCAGAATCTTCAGACTAATTAGTAGTCATGCTTATAATAAAACAACTTAATGAAAATAAAACACTAAAATACTTATTCCCCATTATTAAGATGTCTGTTCATTACCTCTTCCAGAACTAGGCATTGTTAAGATAATTACATCTGCTACATTACTCTAATCAGCCCTCCAAGGTGAAATTTTTTGCAAAGAGTCTACTATTAGGGCCTTGGTTTTCCAGTATTCTCCAAGTTTAACTTGCCACAAAATCCAATCGTTACCTCCCAGGAGAAGCTCCCCTTTCCCAGCCCTCTCACCTCATACCCTGTCTTCCTAGTCAATGTTTCGTAGCATCAGTCAGATGAATTATAAATTTCTGCAAGGCATATATAAGCATATGAGTATATATAGGGAAATAGCTTTCCACTCCTGTGTGTTCTCGTTGAAGGCCAGAGGGGCTACATGACTATAAGAACAGCTTTAGCCTCAACAGTCAAGCACAGGGTTTTCTAATCAGGACTCCCCACATGTCTCTTGATCTGTGGGTCAGCTCCTGCACTTATGAAATAATAGAGGGAAATAATAACATACATTCAAATCCAATTCTACATCCTTTGATTTTTACTTATTTTAAAATCACTTTATCATCTAGATATACTTAGTCTAACATAATGTAATATGAGGTTTCTCAAATCTAACTTAGCCAATTAAATTCTAAAAGAAATTGGAAGAGATCTTAGAAATCACTTTATCAATGAACAGGGCACTCAGAGAGGCTAAGAAATCCAGTGCAACTCATTCATAACCAAACTGGGATTTGAACTCAGAACCAAACACCTGGTTCCACAATTCTTAGCACCCCATACTCCAGAGAGGAGCCCTCACGTGCATGGTTAACTTAGATGCATTAAATCCTGTGCCCTCAACCAAAAAAAACAAATGCACTTCACCAGGGGATGCTCCAGAGTGAACCTACAAGGAATCATGAATCTGCCATTCCTTCAACAAGTATGAGCTCCAAGTGCCTCACAGTGCATTTCTGAGCTGGTGGTCGGGTTGAAGATTTTCCTGGGTAATAGTGATGAGACAATTTCTAGCTTCTGTTCTCACTGATGTGAAGCCCTAGCTTCTGTGTAAACAGAAATAACCAATAGGCCTTTCTACCAACCCGGCTACATGTACTTTACTTCTTGGGCCATTGAAGGATCTGATGGAAACTATGGACTCTCTCTGCAGAAAATGTACTTACAATAAATAATACATTAAAAAGTGCATATAATTGGATACTTCACATGCCCCAAAGTCCATTCACAGATCCCCTCTAACCATGCAAGAACCCCAAGTTTATAATAATTGAATTTGGTAGCTTTACAGGTTTATCTCTCAGACTTTTATTTCAGCTGCATTTATATCACACTGTTTGATTTTTTTTTTTTTTTTTTTTTTTTGAGACGGAGTTTCGCTCTTGTTACCCAGGCTGAGTGCAATGGCGCGATCTTGGCTCACCGCAACCTCCGCCTCCTGTGTTCAGGCAATTCTCCTGCCTCAGCCTCCTGAGTAGCTGGGATTACAGGAATGCGCCACCGTGCCCCGCTAATTTTTTGTATTTTTAGGAGAGACGGGGTTTCACCATGTTGACCAGGATGGTCTGGATCTCTTGACCTCGTGATCCACCCACCTCGGCCTCCCAAAGTGCTGGGATTACAGGCGTGAGCCACCGTGCCCGGCCACACTGTTTGATTTAAATGCCCACTTTTAATATGAAGGACTATTTTTCCTCCTATTATAACTGTATTATTTTTAATGTGATTAAAATTTAGCAAATCACAAGTATCTATACTCTTCTAGTCATTGTACTAATGGTTTTTCTAACAGCTACATAAATTGAGGAACATGAATACGGAGTTCTGATTCTCCACAGCAGCCACCCCACTGGCTGGATAAGTCAGATTTAAACTAATTCTAGAATACAAAGAGAAGAAAGTGCGAATGTGTTGACCATCTAGAGCTGCACTGCCCAATACAGTAGACACTAGCTACATCAGGCTAGTAAGCAATTAAAACATGGTTAGTTCAAATTGAAATGTTCTGAAAAAATGGGTTTTAATGACTTTGTATTTAAAAATGAAAAATATTTTGATAATTTTTATGTAGAAATCATATTTTGCATATGTTGAATTGAATAAAATACACAGTTATCACTAACATGTTTAAACTGTTTAATGTGAGTGCTAGAAGATTTTAAATTATGTATGTGGCTTGCATTATGCTTCTATTGGGCAGCACAGATACAGAACTTATTGGACAAGTATATACTAAATGCTTGCCCTCATGATCTTACTAAATCCTTGGTGCAGTTCTATGAGGCAGATGCTTTATTAACAGTTTAGACTCAGATTAAGAACTTTGCCCAGATAAGTGTAAAAACGTAATTTGAATTCACATCCGCCTAATACCAAACCCTTTGCCTGTGCTTCCATCTCCTCCTCAAGAAGCAATTCAAAGTATGTTCAGGTTAGGTGAATATTTGTAACATATTCATAATCACAATAAAAGAAATTACTTCAAAGTAGCAGGCTTTTTTAAATTGCAGAATATTCTAACTCTCCTGGCAAGAACACATGACAATGCCGGGCGCGGTGGCTCAAGCCTGTAATCCCAGCACTAAGGGAGGCCGAGGCGGGTGGATCACGAGGTCAAGAGATCGAGACCATCTCCGTCAACATGGTGAACCCCTGTCTCTACTAAAAATACAAAAAATTAGCTGGGCATGGTGGCGCGTGCCTGTAATCCCAGCTACTCAGGAGGCTGAGGCAGGAGAATTGCCTGAACCCAGGAGGCGGAGGTTGCGGTGAGCCGAGATCGCGCCATTGCACTCCAGCCTGGGTAACAAGAGCGAAACTCCGTCTAAAAAAAAAAAAAAAAAAAAAAAAAATCTAGGAATGTGGGAGCACAAGCTAAGTTTTTCATTTTTTAAATGGAAACAGGAAATCCCAAATAGCAAAAATCACAAATACGATGAGGTAGGATTATACACCACCCAAGGAATACTCGTTGAAGAAGTAATTAAGATTATAAACTGAAATATGAAAATTAACCAAGTAATTATCTACTGGTAGCCTTCAGAAGTAGGTTACAGGTTACTTGTCAGCAACACTGCCCAAAATCAAGGAAGCAAACACAACTCTGCCACAAGCAACTGAGACTCCTACTTTTATTTCTGTTTTCGGTTTTAAGTATTTTAGGATTTCTGTGGAGCATCAGCCAATTAAAAAAGAAAATCACTAAAACGGAGATAAGATGCAAGAATTCTCCTGGCAAATGCTGTAGTCTTCAATTTTGATTAAATGTGAATTCCCTAAAGCAGTTATAAAACAAAGTGTGGTTCTTTGGGTTTCATTCAGATGGGGTTTTTCTGCTTAAATGGTTCATTTTATTTAGCTTCCAGTTGCAACTAATCCTGAAAGGGCACAGTCCACAGGGACATGCGATTTGCCTATAATGTGGTTTTGCCTTTCAATGGCAGAATGCTGACCTCCATGCACTCAGCATCTTTGAAAAATGAAAAATGGGAAATTAATGATCCCTCCTTCATTGGGGCTATTGCAAATTTAAACTTGCTCACCAATTATTAAGTCTCGCTAAAACCCTCAAAAGCCAAAGGAAACTCCCTAAACCTCATCAGAGTCTCTCAAAAATATACTATGAAGTAATTAAATTGTGTTTTTAGTTCCCTTGTGAGAACTACATGTCTCCCAAACATTGTGGGTTTGACTTAGCAACAGCTCTGCGGAATTATGACACCCTTATGCATCCAGGAACCATGTCAGAAACCAGCACAGACTCCTTCATCTACTAGCTTCTATGTGCATCCTCAGTCTAGGGCTATGGGGAGCTCTTTGGAGCTTACAGTCCAGTGAGAAAGAAAACAGTAATCCAATCATCACACAAATACTTACAAAGTATCAACAAGGCTGGAATAAGGGTCAGATATGAAAGTCAGTGCCACAGATTTCAGAGAGGGTCTCCCTTAAAAAGTTATGGTTGATCTGAGAACCAATAGATGAATGTGAGTTAACTAGAAAGGTAGTTAAATAGAGAAAACAGCATGGGCAAAGGTCCTGAAGTGAGAGAAATGTGATCTATTTGAAACAAACAAGACAGTCAGATGTGACTTGAGCTCAAAAACAATGGAAAAGAGAATAGAGAGAACTGAGTGCAAAAAGAGAGCTAGGAAGGAACCACACTGTCTACGTGGCCATAAA